ATAAATATGGTGTTCACTATGATGAACTACAGTATTGGTATAAATATAGTGTTCACTATGATGAACTACAGTATTAGTATAAATATGGTGTTCACTATGATGAACTACAGTATTGGTATAAATATAGTGTTCACTATGATGAACTACAGTATTGGTATAAATATGGTGTTCACTATGATGAACTACAGTATTGGTATAAATATGGTGTTCACTATGATGAACTACAGTATTGGTATAAATATGGCGTTCACTATGATGAACTACAGTATTGGTATAAATATGGTGTTCACTATGATGAACTACAGTATTGGTATAAATATGGTGTTCACTATGATGAACTACAGTATTGGTTAAATATGGTGTTCACTATGATGAACTACAGTATTGGTATGAATATGGTGTTCATTATGATGAACTACAGTATTGGTATAAATATAGTGTTCACTGTGATGAACTACAGTATTGGTATAAATATAGTGTTCACTATGATGAACTACAGTATTGGTATAAATATGGTGTTCACTATGATGAAGTATGTGATGTACTTAAACAAGAAAATATGATATTTCTACCTTCGATGCATGATCCAAGTTCATAGAATTCGAATCTTCCATCAGTGGGCATGATGACTTTCTCTGCGATAGAGTAAGAGTCCTCTGGTGTCAGTAAGCATAGTTTTCTGCCAAGATCAAACACGAAGGAACGACACCTGAAGTCGCCATGTTGAAGACAGGACTGTTTGCACTGGTCCCTGGTGGTAGCTGACTGATCAACATGGGCGTGGCTGTGAATGATGGTTCGATCTTTTTGAAGATGAAAGTGACACTGTCTGGGCTCTAAATTTCAATATAAAATGTTAGGGAAAATATTATAATTATGAATAAAGACGAAACGGTGCAACCAGACAACAACTTCTGATATGTGCCCCTCTTTTCAAATTTTAATAAATGCCCCAGTTACGATGGTAATGAGGGTATTTTAAAACAAAATATGGTGATTAGGGTACCAGGTCTCAGATGAAAGAAATATTTTGAACCGTTTCTGATGTTATATTTTATCAATTAGCATATAAAAACTCGCGCGTTGATTCCAAAATTTTAATAACAAACAGTGCATGAATATGTATACATATTAAGTTGATTCTACAGTGACGTATACGGTGACGTTTTTTTTTGTTTGTTTATATACAACATATCTATTTTACTTAAACTTTCTCTTATATACTGAGAGACGACGTTTTCATACTGGAATGTAACTGTTAGAATAGTCATAACTTAATACACTGAGAGACGACGTTTTCATACTGGAATGTAACTGTTAGAATAGTCATAACTTAATACACTGAGAGACGACGTTTTCATACTGGAATGTAACTGTTAGAATAGTCATAACTTAATACATTGAGAGACGACGTTTTCATACTGGAATGTAACTGTTAGAATAGTCATAACTTAATACACGTTACACTTATCGTAATAGGGCATATTTCACAACCAGCCAATCACATCTCAGAGATTAACACCAAACAAGAAAAAATTCTCACATTGATAACCGTTAGTGGACAGTATATAGGGCATTCTACACCACCAACCAACCAATCACAACTCAGACATACGCACCAAACCATGGTAAATTTCTCACCTTGAACACACTGGTTCTCCAGGTAATCCACCTGTCCAGACGAACTTCTGAAGGCTTCCGCGGCCGTCCTTCGGTCGTACTTACTAAGCACGCAGTATTTTGTCGCGTGGTTGTATTGCGCGGAACGACACGTGAAGCCCTGCTCAGTAACGCATGCCTCTAAACACAGATCTTCAGATCCTATCGCGGCAACAGTCTTGTCATCATAACCAATAAGCTGAGAACCAGGAATTCGATCAAATGACCACTGACGGTTACACTGTAAACCTGATGGTCAGAAAAAGTCGTGCCGTAAGTCATCTGATTACCAAAGATATTCGGAAATAAATGTACACTTCAGTTAGTTAAAAAAAGTAAATTATCCCTAAGCCTCAAGACACTCGAATGAGAACATTAACATTATTGTCAGACTTCAAGTATTATTATAAAATTTTAAGATACTCCATGATAACGTTAACCTTACTGTCATAACACAGTAAAATGTAATAAACAACTTTTAAGTGCTCAATGATAACATTAACGTCACTTTCATACTTTTGCGATAACATTAACCTCAATGGCATACTCTGTTATAACATTATCCTCACTATCATAAATAAATTAGTGAGATATCCTTAAACTTTAAGATACTCCGTGATAACATTAACCTCGCTGTCATAAATAAATTAGTGCGATATCCCTAAACTTTAAGATGGTCCATGATAACATTAACCTCATTCTTACCAGTTACACTGCAGCATATAATAAAATTAGAAATATAACGATACTGAAAAGAAAAAAAAAAAAATTTGGGAAACAGACATAGTCGAAGCATGCTCACCTGTAATGCAGATTTTCCTGTGGTAGCTCCAGGCGTAGTTGGAGACTAACTGTTCTCTGACTGATGAATGTTCAACTTTACTTAATACGCATGTGTTGTTCTCGTGGTCCAGAAGATACGCAAAACATTGTTCATCAGCCGAACACATGGAGTAACAGTCCTTTTGACTGGTTTGTTCTAACGATAGATAAGAGTCTGACCTCTGGAGTATGTGGTCAGGCAGTCTATAACCTTGACTTCTTTCGTAGGTCATTCTTTCCTTGTCACATCTAGCTGTGATAGAAAACACAACAAGATATGTTCCAAAAATGTTGGTCAAATCATTCGTCCTCCAGCAAGTAACTAATAAATGCCACCAGGCTGATTATTATGGATGTACTTGTAAAATTAGTGACAAAAGATAGACTTGAATTGCCTTTATCAAATACTACAACCATATATTTCAAAGTTGAGGTAAATGTTAATTTGGTTGTTTGCCTTTATCAAATACTACAACCATATATTTGAAAGTTGAGGTAAATGTTAATTTGGTTGTTTGTCTTTATCAAATACTACAACCATATATTTGAAAGTTGAGGTAAACGTTAATTTGGTTGTTTGTCATAGTTTACTGACTGTTACTGTGTTATACAGTCTGAAAACCAGCCTGATATTTATTCACGTATCCATGACATTAGAAAACTGAGTGCAGTCAAATAAGCAATTGTTTACAACGAAAGAAAAACTGCTTGCTAAGAATTACTTCACGTTAATTTTATCAGGTTAGTTATTGCAGGTTAATTGTATCAGGTTAATAACTTCAGATTAATTATTTAAGGTTAATTATTTCATGTTAATTAGTTCAGGTTAATTATTTCAGGTCAATTATTTAAGGTTGATAGTTCATGTTAATTATTTCAGGTTAGTTAGTTCAGGTTAATTATTTCATGTTAATTATTTAAGGTTGATAGTTCATGTTAATTATTTCAGGTTAGTTATTTCATGTTAATTATTTCAGGTTAGTTAGTTCAGGTTAATTATTTCATGTTAATTATTTAAGGTTGATAGCTCATGTTAATTATTTCAGGTTAGTTACTGCAGATTAATTATTTCATGTTAATTATTTAAAGTTAATTACTTCAGGGGGTTAATTATTTCATGTTAATTATAAGACTTGAATTATATGGCATTTAAAACATGGATCATTGTTGTTTATCTAAGCATATTAAATTTTCTTCAACTAGTTACAATCTAACTTACCAGCATTCAGAGGAACAGTTACAATTGTTACCAGCACCATCAGAAGCACTACTTTCCGGTCTCTGATTAGTGGATCTGAAAGAGAGATAATATTAGTGTGTGCAATGTGGCGTTGTTATACAACAAAGCAACCGATATCAAGACTGAAGGTAATTAAGACAGGTGAAGGCACTGCAGCTTGTTAGCGTATGATGGCGTTGATAAACTGCCATCTTGCTGTTTCTGTGTGAACTAAGTGGCTGGTGCCATGAATTAAATCGTAATGAATCTTAACACCCGTTCCACGCCTGTAAGAAACCAACAATATCCTGTGTTATGTAGCAGAAAATAGGCAAAATTTCAGAAAACTTACAAGTACTTAAATAACAGTGCGTTTAAAAAACAGATAGAATACAAAATGGGTGAATTTTCGAGAATTTTGGCATCAGTACACAACTCTTATTGCTTAATTACGCCCCCCTCCCCTTATTCATTTTGTCAGAAATGTTGAAAGTTTTAGCAGAAAAATTCGAGAGTTTATTAATGAGTTTATTTTCTGTAAAACCCGAACTTTCTTTATATACCTACAAAACTGATTTATGCTGAATACAAAGTATCTAAGGCCTACACATTTTTAACATTAGGCTATTTTTCACACATAGTTTTATGTGTGAAAAAGAAAGGCGAGTGTTAAGATTACGTCATAAGCTATTGTAGTTTTATTACAACCTAGAAGAAGTAGAAAAATATAACAGTGTTTGACATTAACAGTAGTAATTCATGAGACCCTGAAAAATGCACCACCTGGTGGTATCTGAGTACCTTACGTGTCTGGTGGAAAACATTCTAACATTTATAACATAAACAGGTTCGTGCACTTAGTGCCTTCTTTACAGTTTTTAAATAATTCATGCACAAAATGTTTGACATTTTCAAAACAAATATATAAGAAAGAAAAGGAAATTAACACCTATTCTCAGACAAAATTAAAACTAATTTTTTTCGGTTTAATTCAAAAAATATCAATAGGACAATACTTTCTTCTCCCTAATAAAAGAAAATACAGCTTCTCTGTTAGAAAATCCAAACGTATACCTCTTTAAATTGAAAAAACAAACAAACAAAAACAGTTAGTCTTAACGCACTAGAAGAAAAAGTCTTCGTCTCTAGAAAGCTCGATAACTATTCTCTAATCTACTATATAGAGCAAACTGTGTGTCCAGGAAAAAAAATAAACGTTCGTAAATCTATCTCGATCATTCAGCACCAAACTTGACACAGTGATATAGGATGACACGAGGACGGTCAGTGGGGGGGGGGGGGGATTGGACCCACTCGTCTAATTTCATATTGATAGAATTCTTGAAAACAGTCTGTCTTTCTTTTCAGTATTGGTACCTTTACGTATTTTTATTGCACTTTTACTGTTTATTATGTTAAGAAAGAAAGAAAAAAAATTGAAGCACAATTTCCTTCCTTTGTTCCATCAAATAAATACCACAACTGTTCACGTAGTTCCG